CTATCCATTCTCCACAATCAGTTTTTTGTGCACCAAAAAATGGTGCAATCACATTTAAATTCGGTACCATATCTGTTGCATTTGGATATACTTCATAAAAAAATGAAGCAACACCATAAAGTAAAAGTCCTTGCAACGGAAAAATAAATTGTCCATTTTCTGATATTGATTGTTGATAACTATTATAACGAATTTCAGCCATAGCTTCCCAGTTAAATAGACCGCCATATTTTTCTGCTACATCACATATCTTTCCAAATAATGTACCATTAAATAAATAGTTATTACCATTTGCTAAAAAAAAGTCATTTCTTGTTAACGATGTATCACATTCAAATTTATTGTGTCCATTAAACCCAGGAGGTATTGTTAAAATACCAGGTACCTTTGATGATTGTTTACCAATTGATATTTCTTCTGTAATTATATCACCCTCGAGTGCAATGTTAATTGTAGCTAAGAATATAGCTAAATCAGGAGCAATATTAAATCCGGCCTGTTGCGCTGTGACTAATTCATTAAAATTTGTTATTCCATTGCGATTAATATAGCCATGATTTGCTAATGTATTTATACCTGGACAAGGACCACGGATATCATTTGGACCTGGAGGTATAAAAGGATGGTCTGATAGTTGATCTGAATCTAAATTTCTTTTAGAAGCTAGATGAGGAAATGAAATACATTGTTCGATCAATATTATCCATATAAAAAAGATAACTGATGAACTTTTGTAATACATTATAATAGTATTAATAATATTATTTAAATCTAAAACAATGCTAATATTGATATACGATTATATTCTTTGAAACGACTCTTATATATTGAGAGTGCAGCAAGGACAGAAAATAAACAATGGAGTTGCGATGCATTATTCTTTTTGTTTATATACATATTATTGCTAGTATATTTTTCGTACTTGTTTTATTTTCGATGATTATTGAGTATATCCATCGGTTAGTCATCTATGTGCGCGAGGTATAGAGAGTATGTTTATGACGTTAAGAGAAGATAAAAGTTTAAATTCATTAATGAAGATTTTTTCTTATTCTTAATTGTATTGAGTGATAGTTTTGATAACTCATGAATATGGCTATTATTTATATAGGTAGAAGGTAGACAATGTTTGATTTTTTTTTGTGTTCTGCATCTATGTAAATAATGCGTATAATATAATTGACGTGTTTGTATCTCACTAAGATTATTTACAAATGCAAAGAAAGACTCAATCGGAGTAAAAACAATCGCCTGTTTCGTAGAGAATAAATTTAAAGAATTCATATGAAGTTTTCAAGATATATAATAGCATCTAAAAAAACAAAATTGTTCGCTTTTCATTATGTAGAATGTGACAAACGTCTGAATATGTTTATTTTATCTGCGTGGTTGTGCTTATCGGTAATATCATCAATCGATTGTCATATGTCAAAGAACGATTATTACGATAAACATATACTCAACTGATGACGTATGAATAAATTGTCCATAAAATTATGTTTACTAGGTGATACTTGTTCTATACTGAAAAATATATTTAACGAGAAAATGTCTGACCATATTTTTTTAATTTCAGATAAAAGATTTTAAAGTAATTCTTCTAGTATATAATCATGTATCTATTTAATATTTTCCTTGAATACTATTTTAGATAATTTCAAAATGTTGTGATGTCAGTGTTTGACAAAGTATTTCATCAAAATACAATACATCATTAAATTTTATTTATTAATTGATTATTAATGTGAAATAAAATAAAATGACAAAAAATTATTTGCATGAATCAAAGTCATAAGAGTCGATGTTCTTGTTATATTAACTATTTTATTTGTCAATAATGAATAAAAAAATTAAGTGGGTGGTTGATTATGACGAATATTGGTATGAGCATTTCCATTTGCAACTGATGGCATCATAGTATGATTAATATTAATTGCATTGTTTCCAGTTGTACCTCCAGCTAATCGATAAATAATCTTAATGAATTCATCACGAAATAATTTTGATGTTAAACAATGCACATAGAAGTTGATCTATATATAATATATGAAAAGTTTTCTATTGAATTACTAAAATAAGATGAATGGGAATCAAATTTCAAAATTAGAACTCACTCTAGCAATGAACCTCTATATTACTAAGAAAAATAATTCTTTAATAACTTACGGCATAGTTTAAACTGAGTAGTACAGTAAGTATAGCCGTATCACTGACAATTTTATTTATATCAGTATTTTGACCAGTAGAAACTTCATAAGCACCTACAATTTGACGAAGATTGACAGGTAATGTCGTGACGAAAAATATCATGATACTAGATATCATCAAGATCAACATTTGTCGATGTAAACGTGCTTGACGTAATTGTTGTGGCTGATTCGTTCCAATTGTTTGAATACGAGATTTTGTTTTCTGTATAGTACGAGGAATGGCAATGCTACCAAGAAGCATTACTGTTACAGGAATTAGACAAACAAAGAATACCTTATAGACAAAAAATCAAAAATATCCTTGATGTATTCAATCATCTAAGTCTCTTACTTGAATGAAAGGCCATTGAGTAAAATAAAAATCTATATATGAACCGGTAAACTGTATAGGTCCACATGCTATTGTTGCAATACCAGGCTGATATCTACCAAAGAATTGGGCACTTAACATATGACTATGTAAACTAATTGCAATAATTATGATGCATATTGTAACTATGATAACATTTTTATGTGTACACCATTTATTGGCTTTAAATGGAAAACATGTTCTAAGCCAACGATCAATTGTGACAAAAACAAGAATCCAAGCTGAACAGAATTGAATAAAACCTTTTGAAAACCAGCGAAATCGACATAGACTATCGTAGTTTGCTAAAAGAATTGGTCCTTGTATCAAACCAACTTCAATAAAATCGAAAATTGATACAAGCAAAAATAAACTATCGGAAAAAGCCAAAATAAGAAATAGAAAGCCTGTAGAAGTGACACGTAATGCTGTTTGCATAAATGTTGCCATACTTGCTAGATTACCTGTGAATCCTAATAGAAATAACAATCCCAATCCATAACGATATAAAAGAACAACAAACAAAGGATTTGGGAGAGCAAGGAATGGAGTTGGATCAGAAACAACACTATTATTTGTCATATTCATTGTGATGTTTTATATATGTTCAATTAAAAATCTATTGTATTATGTAATACCAGACTAATCTTCTTTCTTGGATCAGATGATACTTTGTATTCACGATATTAGCTGAAAAAAATAAAATTAAAAGAAGTAGAAATATTGATAGTTGGAATTAGATATGAAAATAATCTGAATTTTCACAAGAATTATCGAATCAATCGCTGTAAAATTTGTATCGATACCGACTTGATCCTTGTAAAATAATATTTCATTACGCATTCTAAATTAATATTGACTATCATATCTTCTTCGTAATATTCATATTCATCTATTTTTTATTCAAAATAGAAAATAGAAAAAGAAATTAAATGTTATTCTTCAATTGAGGACTTTCTCTATAACACAATACTATATACTCAATTTAAATAAGATTTATTGATTGATATTAGCTGATTGCTCGTATATGTATCGAATATTTATTTGAATGTATGTCTAATCCGTTTGAAGTATTTTAATAAAAATCTATTTCGCGAAGAATAATAAAAGATAGACTTACCGTTTGAGAAACGACTATATAATTTCTATAGAAGAAACTCGCTTATATAGATGTGAAGAGAAAAAGATTATCTATAGTCTAAATAAAAAACTAAGAAAAAAAGAACATTAATAATAAGATACAAGTAGAAAGTGAAAACTAGTTGATTATGAGAATCTCGTTATAAATAACACGTAAAATTTACTTATTAATCTGTAATTTTTACTTAATTTGCTATTGTGTTTGTGACTCTAATAAAAATAGAAATATATGTTAGTGTCAACAATCGTCCGCTAATTACACTTTTGAATACAATGTTAATCATAACCATTATCAAAAAAACATATTCAATAAGCGAAATCTTGTAGTGGAAGATATTTTTGATATTTCTATTGATAACTGAACATCCTCCACAAATGATATAATTGTTATAATTATCAAACTCTCTAAGATTCAAATTGTTTCCGAGACGAGTTGGAAATCTTTCTAAATCAAACATATATTCAATATTAAATAAATCTTTTATTCTCCAATGTTTAACAATTTCCAATTAAGAAATCCACTTACACTGATTATTCTTATTCTATAAAATATTCTCAAATGACGACGAATCATCTAGGCCATATAGTTCACATGTATATTAATTCAGCTTCACAAAAATTTATTACTTCTATTATCATCTTATCGAACAAACGCACGTCACAAGAGTTAGATTATATTCATATATATATAATAGAAAAATAGTTAAACATTTTTTGTTTTTATTTGTGAGATGTTATAAGAAAAATTGAATGTGAATAAAAAGTAATATTAATTATTAGAATTCAGTTTATAATGAGCCATTTTCAGAATTCGATGATAGATCATCTACAAACAAAAGTAATATTTAGAAAAAGAAATAATAATGAATTACAAGTATAACTTCTTTCTATTCATTATCGTCAAATTACATTATCTCATCTTCTCTTTAAATTCTTTTCCATAAAAAAATAACACTTTTTATTTCAATTTTCTATTATTGGTTGTATAAAAAACAATCCAGTCTTTTTTATCCCCATGAAATTTGTTTTTCTTTTCAATGAAGTTTATGTAAATTAATATATTAAGACTATTATACTATACTTGAATAAAAAAAAGTATCTTTTGATATTAACCTCAATTTCTACTATAAATATGCTTACCCAGCGTGTCGATAATCTTATAGGGTATGATTGCCTTTTGTTCTCTACAGTGCAAAACAATAGTGGCAGTAATTTCAACTGTAAAAATAGTTAAAGAAACTAAAATAATACCTTTTAAAGGTATATTTAGTGCCGCCGCCCAAGCAGACAAAACTTCAATAAAACCGGTGAAAAACTCGTAGAAATTTTAACGAAAATAAAATCCAGCAAAGCGCACATTTTTACGATTTTTATCTCCGTTAGCTTGTCTACTGTGATTAACGCTTAAAAATGCGTTAAAACACACAAAATAACGTTAAATCCTATGTTTTAATGAGTAATTATGGAGTAGATTTTAACGTAGTACAACGCTTTCTGGAAAACTACGTAGAAACGGTGTTTTTACGCGTTTTTTTAAAGAACATGTCTGTCTGGGTCATGGTATGTCTTTGTTTGAGCCATTTCGACGGTGTGGCTTTAGTTCATCGACCACAGCACGTTCACACCCAGACAGACAAGACCTCTAAAAAAACGCATTTAAAATTCGTACATACACCGTTTTTACGAATTCTTAACGCGTTTCTACACAGTTTTTTAGAAAGCGTTCTACTGTATTAAAATCTATTCCGTAGTTACTCGTTGAAACGCAGAATACAACGTGGTTTTACACGTAATTTTGTGAGTTTTAACGCTTTAAGCACAGATTATCGACGCGTTAATCACAGTAGACAAAGTCAACGGAGATAAAAATCGTAAAAATGTGCAATTTTTCCGATTTTATTTTCGTTAAAATTTCAAAATTTTCACACCGTATTTCTCCGGTTTTTTGAATTTTGTCTGTCTAGGCACCCTCACCTGCAAGATGGTAAATGAATACTATTTATCTGTATTAATATTTATATCAATATGTTTTTTGAAATTAAGAACTATTTTTCAATCAGCAGCTAAACATAAATTTTCGCTCGTTTATAAGTCAAATCAAATTTAAGGAAAAAAAATAGTTTATCATCTTTTTCACAACTGGCGCGCAAATGTCGGTCAATCGATTAAAACAATGAAGAAAAAGGTCAATGCTAATGATGTAGCGGTCATGATATTTCCAAGTGAATGAAAGGTCAAATAATAGGTTGAGCATCATGATCATACAATCATTACTATTTTGTCTGGCTTGAATAGGAATGACAAACATCGAACACTTACCAAATGAATTACTATCAATGTGTTTAAGTTATTTGGATTTTTATAATATTTATGAAATATTTTTTCATTTAAATTTTCGTTTTAATCAATTAATTCGATATGCTACAAAGCTTCATCTTCATTTATCTTCAATTCCATCAGGAAAATTTTTACAATTTTGTTATCAATTAAATCAATATATGAAAACAACTGGAAATTATCCATATACACTTATAGCTGAAGATAAACACAAATTAAAATTAATTTTAGAAGATGAATTTTTTACTGAATCATTTTCAAAATTAAGAACATTAATATTATCTAATATAGATTCTCATACTCTTGCTTTCATTATCTTTGATTGTCCAGCAAAATTATATGAAAATTTAGAAAACTTAGCTTTATTAGAAAATATTACTGAAGATAATCGACAATCACGATATAATCTAGAATGTAAGAATATTCGTGTAATAATAAACATATTAATTTGATGTATTTAGGGTTATGCAACAATTTAATATCATCAAAAATGAAATCATTAAAATATTTCAAATTAAATATCGAACACTACAAATCGAACTCTCCTTTTTACTTATATTTCAATACGTTTACAATAGAAAATATATCATTATCTAACTTAGAAACTCTTATTATTGGATGTAAGTTATTTATTTCGTTTGTTTACTTAAAATTATTTATATCTTTATTAGATAGTGGTTATCCAACGAGTACAATAGTATCATTTGAGACATTGACTCAAAAATTATTTCCACGTTTACCAAAACTAAAAAATTTACTTATCGATTTTCTTGAATTCGAGACTTGGTGTATGGAATTGCCACGGGTATATAGATTCATTGTATTTTTATACTAATTTTGTTTTTATCTTCATTAGGTGCTACCAACGACGACAGATGTTAGCTCAAACGTACCATTAAGTTTACAATATGTTAAAATTGAAGTTGAAGGAGAGGAAACGGATCGTAATGATGTAAAAATAGTGACAGATTTTTTACGAAATTTCTTTTTGACTAGCAATCCATCGAACACAAGAATAGTTAACATTATTTTCATCGATAATTCCGGGAGTTGTTGAAAGTTTGAAGAAAATTTCTTGGGATTTATGAAATTTGTAATTTCTTTTTTGTTACAACAATAAAATACTTCAATAGATAATATTTAAAAAGAGGTTCCGTGTATATGAGACGATAGATTAAAAACAATGATCGCACTCTGGATCAAATCTAGGCATACGCTGAGTCTTGGACTCTCAGTTTGCTCTCATCCGCAACAGTGGCGTAGCCAGGATTTTTTGACCAATGGGCAAACTTCTAGTACCTCGAAAAATTCGATGGGCAAAATGGGCAAGATTTTTATTGATGGGCCAAAAAGTTTTAGCTGAGTAAACTACCGAGAACGTATAAAAAGCAGAAAATGAATGAAATGAGAGTCTTATAATTAAAAACATTCATTAAACTTAGACTCAGATCTTAAGCCTAAGTTAAGTGTATTTTAAGTCTCTCGTAATAACTTTGTTTATAACATTTATGTTTCAAACTCAAACATCAAGATCAGACTGACGAGAACTTATTTGTGTATATAATTTCAACATAAAGGGTTGTCGCGAAGTGTTAAATATTTGAGGCAGTCGAAACATTTTTCAAAAAGTTCTCAGAAACTTTTATAAACTATTGAAATTTTAAAAATTTTCGATGATTTTTGTGAGTTTTTAACGACTTTTTTTGAAAATTTTTGCGAAGATTTCTAGAAACTTTAAAAGATATTTTCGAAAATTTGTTCAAAATTTTTCGAAATCTCTTAATAATTTTTAAAAAGTATGAAGAAGTAAAATTTCAATGGGCAAAGGCTTATTATTAAAGATTACAATGGGCAAATCTCCAAATGCAATGGGCAATTGCCCATTTGCCCCCCCCCTGGCTACGCCACTGATCCGCAATCACGCCTTATTATGTTCGATGTCAAAAGAAATAACATCTAATTTATTGCATAATGCTAGAGTAATATAAATTTACTTCAAGCGAAGTTAAAAGAGCAAAACCATGAAAGCAAAAAACTATTACAATTCAAAAACGAACTCACATATATTTTTTAATAATAATGAAAAGCGAAAAAAACATTAAAACCCAAATAGAATTCGCTTGTTGTTGATAACCCTTAGAAGGTGCGAGTGGGGATGCGGATGTGCATATTCCTTGTAGACTACCACCCTGCATCATATTTTGTGGACAACTTGCATATTTTACGCGGCATTGATCAATGCAATTCATACTGGTACATGAATCGAGTTGGAAACTGCCTTGATTCATTGCTGTGCAGCCATTACCTAGACAACATGTACATTGACATGTATCACCTTTGATTGATTGTGTTAACCAAGCAACAACGATGATGCTCACAAGAATGATATTTATTGTTTTATTCATATCTAAATAGATATATTATTAAGAATAACGTTAATGCAAAATAAAAATCATCTTCAGGGTGTGATGGGTGAGGATGTTACACATATGTTCCACTTTTTTGTTTTAGATTGTAAAACTATAATAAACTGGAATCAATGACTCGAGTAGAAAGAACGATGATACTATATTAAACTCATTACTAGTTGAATAGAGCATATAGTTGCTGCGCTACCTGTTTGAAATAAGACAAATGTATAATGTTGTTATCAGTCTTGCTCAATAACAGATGGCTTTATCATGTGTTGAATATGCCAGAAAACTCGAAGATCTTACGAAATAAAATGTTTTTGAAACCGTTAGCAATCTATCGAACGTTCTAGATCGTCTTTAAATGTGTAAATCAACGCGCTGTATCCATTTTCATGATAATCTAGACGAATGTTTACCTCACTATATTATCGACATGAATAGAACTTGCCTATCTAAAATTTGGTCGTGAAATGATTGATATATATTTTTTCGTTAACAGCTTAAATACTACTCTTCACGACTGAATACCAGAAAAATATTAAAAAAATAAATAGAAGAACGAAACTTATCAAATATATTTTCTGAGAGATGTGAAATTTCATTGATCTCAAATATCAAAGATATTTGTTCAAGTTATTCTTTTTTACATCCAGCTACATGAAGTTTCAAATATCTTTAAAGAAACTTGAGATTTAAAAACAACATGCTTGTGTATGAAATCAAATCTGTTTATGTGTCTTTCTCTTTTATTTACTCACACTTGCATTCGACTTTTTTTCTTCACAATACAAGTTGATAATACGGGTGTGAGTATGAGATCAAGATTATCTCTCAGATCTGCTAGCATCGATTCTTTTTGCTGTACGTTTGTTTGAAACAATACTGAAATCAATGAACAATTCATCGGGAATACCGGTCAATATTTTATAGTTTGTCTTCGCTGCAATCTAATACAAACTCATCGTCTTTATTCAACAAGTTATTTTCTAAAAATTCATGTATATTATGTCCTTAGTTGCTCTTGACTTTTAATATATGTACTAAAAGAAAAGGTTATTTCACACTAAGCTAGTGTTTTTTTCTTTAATAAAATCTATTTGATAATTCATAAGAAATTATATCTGTTGGTTCATTTTTTTTAATTAAAAACCTTTTTGTAAAAGAAATAATTATATTAACAGTTATCTTTTTACACTTTTCTTTGACAAGTAAATGAAGCCAGCATTTTTGCAATTATTGTTGATGTCTCTATTTTTCTTGTTTAAAATATAGTTTATATTTCATAATTATTAACCTTAAGGTAAGATTCAAGAAACAAGTAAAAATACACGCCTTTTACAGAAAAAAGTCAGATTTTAAAATTGTTTTTAACAACTAAATTTATCAAACAAATAAAATACGAAAGCGGTGTTGATTTATTAAATCCACTGATAATAGAAGTATTGGAGAATAGAAAAACAATTATATGTTGAATTTAGGGATGTTACTTTTCTTTGAAATAAAGGTGAGGATTTTCCTTAACTTTATTTTGTAAAGTGAAGACTAACTAACATTTATAATTTCTATTACAATCGATCATATTCAGTAGAATAGGACTATCTTGAGGAGTCGATCATATTCGTTAACTTAAAATAAAATAGACATCACTAATTAAGATTTAATATTAATAAAAGAAAAAGCTTAATTACCATCATTAAGCAAGATACACCATATACAGTTTTTTCGCATCTAAAGTTAACGATAAAATTCGTGTTGTACTATGAAAACATCCAAGTCATTCTACTAGTTTTAGAAGTAGAACAAGTAGTGAGACTGATGTCACAGTATAGAGGATTAAGTGAAATCATGATTCTGTTTTTTTCAGTGTATTGTAAATTTCTCTTGAAGAGTTATAAAGCATAGAATCTCTCAATTGTCACTCTACAAAGTGAGTAACATTTCCTTTATCAAAAAGTTCTGTTCTTTTCTTCTAAAACTAATCTAATAAGAAAGAACCTCTTCTCAGCAGCTTGCTATTTAAAGAATTCTCTTTCTTTTTTTCATTATTTTCTGAAGTTGCCGATAATTTTCAGAGACTTCTCATAAGCTAGTCCGTTCGTTAAATCATGTCCACCGCTTCTAATGATACATTGATTAATCAATTACGATTCGGAACCAATACAATATATGCCGTTATGGGTGTTGTCTTATTCGTTGGTGGCACTATAGGAAATCTATGCAATATTGTCGTATTTATGCGCATTCGAACTCTAAGCCGACTAGCAGCCAGTTGGTTTCTTCTTGCATCGTTTGTTGGAAGCCAGATGCTGCTGAGCACGAATATTCTTTCTCGTGCTATTTTCGGTATAACTGGAGTTGAGTCACTGACTACCTCCGTTTTCTGGTGCAAATTTCGCTGGCTCATAGGACCTACAGGTGGTGTTACCTCAATTACTTGCATTTCTTTCGGAGCCATTGATCGATACTTGATAACCAGTCGTCAAGTTAATCGACACAGATGGATTACTCCGCAGCGAGCTCGGTACATGATCGTCATTGTCGTTTTTGTCTGGTTTATGACCAGCCTACCCAATGTCTTTTTATACACAATTCCATCATGCAGTGTCACCAATGCGATCTATGCACAATACTTAACATTCTTTAATATCGGCACGTACAGTGTGATCCCGCTCACTATTCTTCCCATATTTTCTTATCTCACTTGGAACAATTTACGCAGTCGTGTCATGGTCGGAATAAGACAAAATCGTCTGCAAACGCAAGTGACCCGGATGATGTTCGCGCAATTTGGTCTCGTTTTCAGCACAACCGTGTCTAACGTGATCTTACAATCGTATTTTGCAGCTATACGTAATGTAGTCAAAACACCCTTGCGTGCGGCTGAAGACGGAATGGTAAGTTGCATTCTCACAATGGTTGGAATTGCACCCCATGCAATGGTCTTCTACGTTTACTTAGCTGTTTCTTCAAAATATCGAGGAAATGTTAGAACTGTGCTTTTTTCATGCTTACCTGCCTTAAATCGTGTTGCTCCTGTAAGTGAACAGCAGCTCAACTGAATGACAAGAACTGGTACCAACTAGGAAAAGAACATTAAATTATTCTCTTAACATGTATTTGATGAAAGACTATATGTAATAAATATTGTCATGTAAATCAAATTCTTCTAATAATGACTACACTGTAAAATAAAATCTTTTTTACTCTTACTTTCAGACTCCAAATGTTTGTTCATAAAACAAAGCATGGAAATACTACAAGAAGACAAAAATAATTATATTGAACATTTTAGTTTATTGTTATACTATTTTTTGAAACAAGTTAAAAGACATTTTTTCGTGACATTAGAATAAACAAAATTAAATATATAAATGAGAAGTATGATAAGTATAAAGCTGATAACAAGAATAACCACTTGATCTATGAAGACAAGTATGTTACAATAAAAAAGAAATGTATTAACTATTCAAGTTTCTCCGTATTCGTTAAGTGAATAAGCATTTTGAAGAAATTTAAAGTATTTCGATAGATGATAACCAAGGCGTATCGGAGTAAAAATACGATGATTCAAGTGATGTGGTCCAAATCCGTTATTAACATATGATGAAGCGGCAATACCATTAACAAGTAATGATCCATCAAGTGTGATTAAATTATAAACGCCTGTTCTCCACTCTTGGTTTATTATGCGAATGTGAGTCGATTGAATAGTACCATCTTTCAATAAGACATAAAGAGAATGATTGACTGTTAATTGTTCTGCTGGCAAATAATCGAAATGTTGAACACGAATATAATGTTGAGCGGAAAGACTCAGCCGATGACCAGTCATTGTTTCTACTGTATAGAAGAGAACTAAATGAAGAGATGAATAGTTAAAAGAGTAAAATCTATTCAATACATTAACCTGTTAAATTTGGTTCCATATGTGGTATCATCATCGCTTCTGACAAGTAAACTTGGGTTCCATCATAGGATATAGTCCAAATCTGATCGCCAGCTTGAATGTCGCGTAAGAATCTCGAGCTACCATCTACCATTGTCACAGTTTCGTCCATCGAAAAACAACCCTTGTCTATGTAAAAAGAAATGGATTAGAAAAATCGGATCAAAATCAATTATAATGGCACTATTACGATCTAATTTTTCAGTATGAAATATCTGGATTTAGGGATGTGCAGTATGGATTTACTGAGCACCGACTTCCACTGACAACGATGTGCACTGAACACTGAAGGCATCAGTATCAATGTTCGGTGAACACTGAAGGCATCAGTATCAATGTTCGGTGAACACTGAAAATATCACTGTAAATACTCACTAGACTATGAACTTATCACTAATGCGAGTTTACATTAATCACAACATATATAGAGATTACAGGTGTTACTTTATTTTTATTTTTTCTTATTACATAGAAAAAAAGATAATCTTTATTTTAAAAATAAACAAAGTTAAAATAAAGAATAAAGAAAATATTTTCAAACGATCGGTAAATAGATAAATAATTGATATAAAAACAGCTAATACCATATGATTAACCAGAAGCAACTTCACCGACGTTACCTAAATCATTTAATTTCATGTTTAAACTTATATTAGATATGCATGTGGTTATTTCTTCTAAACACTTCTCAATACTTACCATTTTATAGTAGTCATATCAGGAAAATTTTGAAAAAAAATGAACGTTTTCTCTCGATCTCTTTCACTGATAGTTAAAAGCTGTTAGCGCAATCCCTAGCGGGATTAAAAATGTGAAACACGAGCTAACTGTGCTTTTATCTTCAAGAGGATAGTTTAATTGTATCATTATGAAGCGGCTTTTATCTTATCCTGTAACATAAAGGTATAGAAATATCAGAAAGAAATAATTTTCTTATGTTGAAGTCATTTGATTATTATTTTAATAGTTGATACAAAGTTTAATAGAAAAATTGATTAATATTCAAAAAACTGTTCACATATCTATGTTTCCTAAATAGTATGAGTTCAATACTTTTATTTTATTCTCCAACGCAATGTTCATATCTATGATGGTTACAGTCTGTGACATAATCAAAAGAACATCTGTCATTCATGGCTCGTGATGGTACGTTAATCACCTATATGAAGGGTGGGTGTGGGTGTGTGGGTCTGGGTGTGTGGGTGTGGGTGTGGGTGAGCGTGGGTGTGGGTGAGCGTGGGTGTGAGTGTGGGTGTGGGTGTGGGTGGGTGTGGGTGTGGGTGTGGGTGTGGGTGTGGGTGTGGGTGGGTGCGGGTGTGGGTGTGGGTGTGGGTGTGGTGTGGGTGTGGGTGTGGGTGTGGGTGGGTGCGGGTGTGGGTGTGGGTGTGGGTGTGGGTGTGGGTGTGGTGTGGGGTGTGGGTGTGGGTGTGGTGGGTGTGGGTGTGTGGGTGTGGGTGTGGGTGTGGGTGTGGGTGTGTGGGTGTGGGTGTGGGTGTGGGTGTGGGTGTGGGTGTGGGTGTACGTGTGGGTGAGGATGTAGGCATTCTTTTGATGTAATATTTACACCTACACCCACACCCTCAAGATATTTCGACACCATCCGGGGTGTGAGTTTGGGTATAGGTATCATATTTATATCACATTCACACCCACACGCACACCCAAACCGACATTCATACCCCACCCAAACCCACACCCACCCACACCTAGACCCTCAAAATGTCATTTTTTCATGACAGATGCTAAGAAAAGGAAATTTTTCGACTATAAAGAGGCAAGAGGAAAAGGAGATAATTAATCTATTTTATACAGTTTGTGACACTATCGAAATATATAACTAATTTTAGTTTGAATTTTCATTGGTTCGTTCATCTACCGTTCACATTGTTTAACAGACACTTGTTCGTTTTTATGTATAGTAACGAAAACATGATTCTAGCTCATCCTATGATAGAGCTGGCAGCGCGCGAATGATATAAGAAGAAAGCCAACACTTTAACTAGAAACCTTTGTGAAAAGGTTCTCTCTTATCAAGTTTACTTCAAACAAGAAAAACCGAACTTTCTAAAAAAAAAGATATTTACTCACTTTATAGAGTGACGGTATGAAAATTGTCTGCTTTATAACTCTCGAACGGGTTGTCAGATTCAGTTCAAATTTTTAGAGAATGTGTAAAGCAAAGAGTTCTATTAGTGGTAAAAATTTCAGCCTTTGATCTCGTATCCTACACGAGAAATTTACATTATATTGAAAAAAATGTAGAATGACGTTTTTTGAAAAAGGATATAGTGACGCTTTTTCGTAGATATAACTTTCTGATTCCATTCGGGAATGTTTTTTCAAGCACATTTCAACTCAGCAAAGTACATTGAACATGTCTGTATACTATGAGAATTTCTTAACTACTGATATCTCTTCTAAAAGTAATTAAATAACTCAAATATCTGTGCTAAAAGATACTCATTTTACATTGAGTTTAATAGAAAATAACCTATGTACTGCATATTTCGCTTATTATACAGTAAAGTGTTGGAAAATTTTCGTGCATAATACAGGCATATAGTATAGCACAATGCACTACTGGAAAGTTGCTTAGGCCCACTTTCATTTTTTCGCATTGATTGTACCAAAAAGTTGCAATTCACTCATATATATATAAAGAGTGTGTATATATTTATGGAGAATGTTCGTTTATATTATAACTCAAATTAGGTATGCACTCCGAAAAGGACAAAAAATACGATAATAATTAAATAAGGGTAAAAAGCAAAAATCCACAGAAAAAGAAAAAAGAAAACACAAAAGAGCATAGTTAGAGAAGCCAAAAATAAAAAAGCCGCACGGGAAAAGTTTTATTACAGTCTTTGATTGATTTTGTATTGGGTCATTGCATACGATGGTACATAGTGAGCCAATACAGAATACCTTTCTTAATCAGAACAACTACCACCAGTGTTGAAACCACAGAGTTTATTAATGCAACCACAAAAAGAATTGGTGCCCGTAGTAGATCCACCAACTCTACAACTGCCGCTATTACCAACGCAAGAAGAAGAGCCAGTGTTAGGATTAACAGCATCAAGAGAAATAAAAAAATTACCATCGCCACGGGCACCACAATAATAATAAGTACTACTCTGAAAGCAAATAACACAACCACCGCAACATCGATTGACATTACAAGGTGGACCTAAATACACACTCATAAGAATTCGACTCTTACCAATCAAGCCGAATAAATACTTACCTGCCAACGTTTTTAATCGTGATTATGAGTGACTGTAGGTGCGAGCGGCAGACAAGGATGTGGGTGTTGGTGTGTGTGTGTGTGCTGTTGTGGGTAAATCGCTTCTGATATACTCTACACCCACACCCACACCCACACCCACACCCACAACCACACCCACACCCACAACCACAACCACACCCACACCCACAACCACAACCACAACCACAACCACACCCACACCCACAACCACACCTACACCCTCAAGATGCATACTATACTTTTTTTGGCACAGTATCTGAGATATTGCCTATCTTTCTTACTTGTTGTTGTTGTTGTTGTTGTTGTTGTTGTTGTTGTTGTTGTTGGTGTTGTTGGTGTTGATGAATCTGTTAATGAATTTGTGGACGAATCTGTTGACGAATCTGTTGGCGAATCTGTTGGCGAATCTGTTGACGAATCTGTTGACGAATCTGTTGGTGAATCTGTTGACGAATGTTCCGTTGATGGATGTGCTGTTGATGGATGTGCTGTTGAAGAATGTGTTGATGAATGTTCTGTTGATGAATGCTCTGTCGATGAATGTTCCGTCGATGAATGTGTAGATGAATGCTCCGTTGAAGAATGTGTTGGTGAGTGTTCCGTCGAAGAATGTATTGTTGAATGTGCTGTCGATTCACCTTTTGGATGTGCTGTCGATTTACTCTTTGGATGTGATGTCGATTCAGCCTTTGGATGTGCTGTCGATTTGCCCTTTGGATGTGTTGTCGATGAAGCTATTAATGTTGATGAGGTTGATTGTGAACAATGAAAGAAAAGTTGACTTGGATCAAATCCAGAGTTCGACTGTAAGTTAAAAAAAACTTTAATATAATAATAGTTAGTTTCTCTTGGTAATGATTCTATAAGATGTCCAAGTTTATTAGAGCGCGATGTATATACTAATGGCCGACCATTAAAATCATTCAATATATTGTCATATCTATCATAATAAGTGAATGTTACATAATTGATTAGACGTGGTTGTTGTTGTAAACATCTTATGAGTAGTTTATCACCGAATAAATTATCAAAGGCTGGATTTAAGTTAATAAAATAATCGGAATTACTCCATCCTTGATCTAATATATATACTCCTAATGATTCATATGAAATCGTAGTGGCAACTTGAAAAAAATTGTCAAGTTCACTTGATAATACGTCTGAAGAAAATAAAATATCATTTAACATATAAATCTTTGTGAAAATCATAAACGTAAACAGAATTTTAATTGTAATATATGCAAACAAATGCAAAGTTTTCTTCTCTCGATACATTAATAGTGAGTCTTTTTTATTGACATTTTATGCTAAGAAACGAAATTGAATCTTCGTACAAACAAGATTAACAAGTACTTTTTAGACATTTGATCGAAATATTCTTGATCATATATCAATACCTGGTAAATCATACGCCGGATCATTATTATCAGATAGTACACCGTCATTAATTGTATCTAGCTGGCCATGTATAATTCCGTTCTACAGAAAATCAAATATTCAATAGATAAATATACAAAAACAAAATATCTACTTTTTGTAAAACAAACATAACCATTACAATGTTATAAAACGAACGTAACATGTTAATAGACAAACAAAATCAATAAGATATTATATCGAATAGATTTCTAATCTAAATGATATTTATTGGTGAATATTCTCCAAATAAATAGATATAAGAAAAAAAGAGAAAAAACATAATAATTACCATACGACTAATATATTTGATCAATTGAAGAAATGTTTTTTCAATCAAATTTAATTAATAAAAAATGAGAGTATGTTTATTGTTTCATATTTTATTAATAATAGAATGTATTTTCTTCTTTCTTTCTTAGTTATCCATGATATTGTTTGTCATTTGTTTTGATTTTATATCCAACTTTGAGTTGATTTTTTTTGCAAAATAAATTGAATATAGATAACAAAAATTAAAAACATGTTTCTACTTTATTTTGTTCTCTTTCTCGTGTATTTTGATTTTATTGTATAGAAAACTCAGACGTATTGGCTGGTATATGTTTTTTAAGCAAATAAATGAAAAGAAACTAAATTTGCCATCATTTCACTCATCTATAGAAAAAAAGCACCATATATTTATTAAAGAGTAGGTATCCATTATTATTAGAAGCACGAATGGGTAGATAATATGTAAAAATGTAGCACTATGAGTTTTCTTTAAATATTAAAAACGAATCATCTACAGGCTTACTACTACAATATCTTTTTATTGTTTCATATATGCAGGTGTAATAATCACACTTATACATATCTTGTTATCTTAAAAGCTTTTAAAATATTTTAAGAATATATATAATTTTTATTCTTTAATACAATTAAGGGTGGGTATCGGTGTGGGTATCTGTTTTCTGTTAACCCACACCCTAAATAATATTCAACAAATCACTTGATTAAATAAAAATGCATAGTTTTTATTAGCAAGAGCATATTGAACTTTGTAGACATTGAGAACGCATGTCATAATTCGAAGTATTCAATATATCAATCATTTGTTTTCATATGATATTTCTGGCAGATACTATTTTTATCTCTTATACCATATTGTAGTAGCATATAGGCTGTATAAAGCGTCAGATCCGTAGCCCGGAATTTTCCAAGGAGGGTGCTCGACTTGTTAAGAGGTGCATACCAATAGGAGAATAACTTTTCGTTTCGCGAATAAAATTCTCATCCGTACCACCCTCCACGGTTTTTTTGGCCAAAGAGGGTGCTCGAGCACCCTATTCACACACTCCCCCCCCTCCCGCTGGCTACGGGCCAGTAGAGCGTGGGTGTGGATGTATATGCGGGTGTGATGGACGATGGCAGAGAAGAAAAGACATCCACACCCAATACCAAAACATAAAAAGAGCGATAACGTGAAAGAACGAAGAAAAAGAGAAAGAAGAACAAAAGAAAACACACACGAATAAATAAAACGATGTAAAGACCTATGAGTGAAACACCTGTACCATGATGATATCAATATTTATCTTTATGTTTATTATTCTTATTCATCTTTAGATTATATCACGTCTATTTCTTGATTTACATGGTAGAACAAAGTGAATACAAGGTGTTTTATTTTCAACTTTCTTTTACGATAATGGTGAGAGTGTGGGTATCTATGCTCTCTTAACCCGTGCCCACACCTTCTTAAAAATACATCCTTCTCACGTTTACTGGAAGAACAATTGAAAACCTTGCTTTCCTTTGCTGTTCGTTACTTTTACCACATACTCATGAGGGAAGTACTTCAACTAGTTCCGAGCTTTTGAGTCTAGGATTCGTGCATAAGACAGATCCCAATGAAATATAAAATATCCTTTTGGGATTTTTCATACTTCATTGGGGTCTGTCTTATGCATGAAGCCCAAACTCAAAACTAATTAAAGTACTTCCCTCGTTAAAGGTAAACGCAGATCAAAATTTATTTGAGCTATCAGCACCAGTGACTTGTCGAATTAGCCTTTAACACGAATAAGTGAAGTGTTAATAATCTTATACGCAAGAAGGCCAACAGTTTATGATTGCTACACTGCACTACAAGCTGGAAAACATTTGGATACCCATAAAAATGCATTACCCAAAAATTCGGTTTCTATCAATTCACGTCACTTCTCCCAATTGACACCTCTCCATACAGTAGTCTGAGCAAATGAGGCGCACATTTGGACTACAACTTTCAAAATACCTCTAGAAATGTCTTTTCCGGAAAATCGGTCTTCGATGTTTTTTCGACCCTGCAGATATACAAGCAATCAAGAAATCAAGCAAACAAACAATTTATTTCTGCCAGATTCTACTCTGCGAGAAAGAGAATTATGATTACAATAGAGTCTACGTGATTTTAAAAGAACTCTGTTTCTTGTTCTGTGTACATAAAACATCATAGCAGCATACAATAAATAAAAGAAAAAAATGGAAACACTTCCTCGAGAAATTATTTTTCAGTAAGAAAAAAGTACATTAGAATGTGTTTTTATGATAAATAAATATTTAATTAACTTTGGAATACTAAAAATACTGTTTATTCTAATTTATCTAATAAATGGGATATTTACACTATTCTGTGTAAATATAAAACTAAATTGTTTGGATCATATTCAGATTGATAGAAAAAAACATGGTTATCTATTGTATTACAAATTATAATCACTGAAAAATAGAAGAATAACAAAAGGAGAGATTTTCGAAAGGTTGTTATACTTTGTGTTAGGGGTGAGAATTTATTGTTATTGTTACAAATAACAATAACACTTTTTGTTATTAGTTATAAATAACAATAACCTTTTTTTTTTATAGTTATTTATAACAATAACATCTTTTGTTATTTGTCATAAATAACAAATAAATAACAAATAACTTTTATTTTTGAAAAATATCTTTTCTCATCTCATTGTATATTTTATTTGTATTCGTTATGTAAACCTACATTTTGGAACGAATTTTCTATATCTCTGCTACTGATTTAGATGGTTCAATCAAGATATGCAGCTAGCAGAATTTTCAGAAAAAAAGTTATTTGTTATTTACCTGTTATTTATAACAACGAGATAACAATAACTTCTCACCCCTACTTTGTGTTATAGAAACTTAAGTCGAGTGTATTTGGTTTCGAAGAAGTGTTCAGTTTTTTTGTCTGATAAAGCAACTCATCTAATTATTCGTCGTATAGATATTAACGATTGATTTTATTTTAAATGAATGATGTGACATTTCACTGATATATTGTAGTCTATAAGATACATTTGAGGTATTCAAATTTGAATATAAAAATAAATCTCATCGATCACTAAATGTTGATTATTTTTTCTTTTCAAATATAATTTCGTTAGATTAATCATCCTTTATGTTTTTCATCTTTTATATAACTCAAAAGTGCTTTTGATGAATATATATTTTCTCAAATAGCATTTAAACACGTAGCAAAATCTTCTCACCGAGTAGATAATTTTTTTTGAAAGTGAAAAAACACCTGACTAGTTTTGTTGATTAAACTGATAAAATGAAATCTGGAAAAAGGCGTCGGGACTGTTTTTCCGTTAGATTACTGAAATAGATTCTAGGAAAAAGACACGGGGACTGTTTTTCCGTTAGACTACTGGAATAGATTCTAGGAAAAAGACACCGGGACTGCTTCTCCATAGGTTAATGAAACATATTCTAGGAAAAGCGTCAGGACTGTTTTCCATTAAATTGAGGAAATGAATGTAGGGAAAAAACTGCAATACCCACTGAACAGAGAAGAAGAAAAGAATTTACTGCTCAATAAATACTTTGTCTTCTACTATAAATTGAATTCATTTGATCAACTTAGAATCTGGTGGCTGATGGCTTCAACAAAAGTTTGTTTATGGCTTTTATATATGATTATCACACAAGTAGTGGGAGAAGATACACAATCAATGATAATGTCTTTAATGGTTAATTCCAAGTTTCAATGTGCGAATACAACTTGTTTACCATTTACTAATGTTATTACATTAAACACTAGGAATTGTCAAGTAGCTTGTTTGACTCGAAGTCAATGCGCAGCCGCGACTTTTCATCAATCAACTTCTAATTGTGAATTATTTGCATATATGTTGAACGAAAATGGAAATATGTTGGCTGATATCGATGCTACTAGTATGAATATTATTAGTGGAACACGATTCCCAACGGGTCTGTATAAAAATAAAAGGGATTTTAAAAAAATATATCACTGAGAGTGAAAAATTTATTTTCATCGAAATTTCATAGAAATATAACTCATTCGACAGATCCTTGAGAAATAGATAAGAAATTACTGCACTCTTTTTTATTAATATGATGGTCACAAGTAGTTTGAGGCTAGTATTGCACCTCGCTAAATCCTGCAGAAGAATTCAACTTAAACTGAGAATCTGTCAGTATTAAATAAAGCATAAATATGTCATGTAGAAATTCTCCGATCTCAGAAAGACTCTTTTAATAGTATAACTAGATACATTATAATAATGCAGAATTCTGAGAGAAAAATTACAAATTAGATCGATCTAAGTTCATTCAATTTAGTAATCTTTCCTCATTCATATAGAATTAGCTTGTGATCAGAATCTCGTCTTAAATAAACATAAAATATTTTAAGAAAAGAATTAAAATGTAAATCCTATATGACTCAATTTGTGTAATTCGAAAAGCTTTTTTTATTATTAAACTTATTAAGAAATGTAAATTGAGTTGTCAAAATTGTTATAATAGAAATATACTTAAAGTAAATGTCATAGAATTACAGTTATAATGGAAATCATTTAAACATTTTCTATTTAATTATAATCAACTCATATTTACCGTTGATATATTGTTACAGAAGAAGAAACGAATCTTATCCAATCATTTGGTCTCACTCTAAAATCCTTTTTTCAAAATAGAATCAACTATAACAGCAATACCTAGTCAGTACTGTGCTAAATGATTTATAGTAGCTCAAACGATGATTATTAGACATGACGATATCTAAAAGTTTTGATTTTAGCTATTGAATAATCGTCATCTAGATAGACAACATTAGAGAACATTTCCTATTAGAAGTCGGAATAAGACCAATTTTTGATGACTTGATTTGATTTACACTCATTTAAGTATTGAATATTCTTGTCCTGTCCAACAGTGTCAGGCGAAAATATTGTGGATAAAAAGATTTTCTTGGAATAGAGTTCATTGATCATTTTAGTAATCACTTATGCCCACCCACCCACTCTCAAGATGATTCGAATAATAATTCTACACGATGAAGTACTAGCTGACATAATATCGACATAAGAGATTCCTATCAGCATTTAATCTCATGTTCTAGGTCGCATCTATATAGAGTTGAGTAATTCAAAAAAAATATCGTAGAAGCATAAAATACAAGTTACAAACGTGAGAAAAACGCCTTTCATCGTCATCAATTAGCTCGTCATTTATTGATTTTCTCATGAGAACGATACGAGAACTATATTCTCTTACTCACATTCATTCTTACCTACATCCTGACATATACATGCACCATCTATCTAAGATTGTAACAGTACATATTGTTTCCAATATGTTGCACTATGTAGAATGAGTTCCACCCAAATTCTAACATTTTATCATTATTCATCATGACTAAATTATAAAACAGTGTTTCGGTTTTGTCAGTCCGCGACATCAGTAGAACTCGAAAAATATTTATAAAGTCGTTTATAACATATTTTTCATTATTTATTTTAACATTTCATAATGAGTCTTATCTTAATCATGAAAACACAGAGAAGCTTATTGAAGGTTTCAGAACATTTAATTTGTCATTAATAGAGAGACAACTTATACACAATAGAGATTCGAATTCATTTTAAGAACAACATTTCTTTTCTCACTTTTCTGCCTTATTTAGAATGGACAACGACAGGATACATGAGTGTCGCCCGACGTTTTCACACAGCAACCATATTAACAAATGGATCAGTATTAGTTGCTGGAGGAGATAACAACGGTAGTTATCTCAATAGTGCTGAATTATATAATCCTTCAACAGGCACTTGGACAGTCACAGGAAATATGAGTGTCGCACGATATCAACACACAGCATCCACATTAGCAAATGGATCAGTATTAGTTGCTGGTGGATACAACAGTGGTGGCTATCTCTATAGTGCTGAATTGTACAATCCTTCAACAGGCACTTGGACAGTCACAGGAAATATGAGTATCGGACGATATTATCACACAGCATCCACATTAGCAAATGGATCAGTATTAGTTACTGGTGGATACAACAGTGTTAGTTTTCTCCATAGCGCTGAATTGTACAATCCACCGACAGGTACTTGGACAACCACAGTAAGTATGAATACTACACGATGTCTTCATACAGCATCCACATTAGCAAATGGATCAGTACTAGTTGCTGGTGGATCGAGCAGTAGTGGTGTTAATGCCAATAGTGCTGAATTGTACAATCCATTAACAGGCACTTGGACAACTACAGGAAACATGAGTATCGCACGGTATGGTCACACAGCATCCATATTAGCAAATGGATTAGTTTTAGTCGTTGGTGGATATGGCAACAGTGGAGATCTCGACAGTGCTGAATTGTACAATCCATCAACAGGCACTTGGACAACTACAGGAAACACGAGTGTCGCACGATGTTATCACACAGCATCCACGTTAGCGAATGTATTCGTACTAGTTATTGGTGGAGTGAACAGCGGTGGCCAACTTAATAGTGCTGAATTGTACAATCCATCATCAGGCACTTGGACAACTACAAGAAGCATGAATATCGCACGAGATGTTCACACGGCATCCATATTAGCAAATGGGGCAGTATTAGCTGCTGGTGGATATGGCAGTAGTGGTATTCTCAATAGTGCTGAACTCTATGAATCGATATAAATAGAATGACACTTTCTTTTGTGAACTGTATCATAAGTTTTTTTTAATATGTAATCAAGCTATTTAATCATTTACATTTCCTAATACATTATCATTCATCAAATAATATATGAGTTATAGTAATATCTCGAATTTATACCATATGGGTGAGGGTGTGGTTGCGAATATGGGTGAGGGTGCGAGTGTGAATGTCGGTGTAGGTGGGTCTGGCTGTTAGTTTGGGTGTTCCGATTATCTACATCAGCATCTAATCCATCT